GCCGGTAGCCATCTTGGACCGGAAGGTCCATCAGTTGAGGAACCGGGCAGTGAGCTTGGTGAAGGTGCTGTGGAGCCGACACGATGAGACCGAGGCGACTTGGGAGAGGGAGGACGGTATTAGGAGGCGTTATCCGAACTTTGAGTTCTGAGTTCTCCTTTGTATTTTACCTCTTTCTAGTTTTATTTTCGAATTCCGAGGGCGGAATTCTTTTTAAGGTGGGTAGATTGTAACGCCTGTTCGATTTATAGAATTTCTCAGATTATTCTATTTATCGAATTTTAATTATGAGATTACATTTATTTTATTATTATGTGGATACTATAATTATATAGTTCGGTTTTTGATTTTATCAATCGTCGTTGGAATTTTCGGTTTAATTGCGTAGGTCGAATTGTTGTTCGTTTGAATCCGTTTTAGAACCGTTGCGACCCGATCTTAGAAACGATTCAACCAGACTTTAAAACTATAATACTGTCAACTCTTTCATAGTATTTTCAGCCATCAAAACCAACATAAGAGTTAAAATCAAATTTTAGTAAAAGTATACGTTTTCGATTATAGTCGTATATTAAGTTCGATTTTGGTTCCGTAAATTTTATTTTCTCTCTCAATATTTTTAGTAAGCATCAAGAGCAAAGTTAGTAAATTATTTTCAGCCATTTTTGAGCATAAAAACCGAATCAAAGAGGATCCACAACCATCCATAAGAGTGGCATTATTTTACTTAGTCATATGTCACAAAAGTTGAATTTTTATAACCTCTTTGTCCTCTTCCATTGCTAATGTCCGGTTGTTCAACCCTCCCTACTTGCTTTTGTCCTATATTATCACATGAGAGTCAACTCTTGCACATGTCATGAGATTCCAAGAAAAACATCATACCACCAAATCTTAATTTTTTTTTTTTTTATACTTCATGATTGTTTCCATCCTTGTTTTATAGTTCTCTTAGTCTTCTATCTCTTCATTTCGTCCCTCATCAGCTAAGTAACAGATATCACAAACCTTCCACCTCCTAAGACTTATTAAAAGTCATCCAAACTCCTCCCTCAAAGGCTGAAGCCGAGAGCAAGTTCAAGCATAGCCAAGCCGAGCACATTTGTTTTTCTTGCGAGTTTTTGAGGGCTTTTAAGAGGTTGGTTTGCTAAACTATTTTAGAACTTGTTATTGATGAGATGAGGAGTTTATTGATATATAGTTATGCTATATATATTCAATTTATAAGTGTACATAAGCATGCTAGAAGTTAATGTTATTCCTAGCTCGCATGATAAAGCATGTTTGTATGATCTCTGTTGTGCCTCTGAAAAGATATTCAAGAACTCGTTTTCTGAAAATATATTCTTCACACGATATGTAGTTAGTCTTGTTAGCTTCCTTTGGGCTTTGAAATTTTGATAATCCAAGATATATCGAGTGAGTTATGATTTTTATAAAACGAGTGAGCAAGCAGTTTTTGAAAACCTGGCAGCATGTACTAATAAATGTTTGTCCTGTTTATGGCATCTTAATGTACTCAAATTAATTGTTTATCTTCATAAAACTTATAGGTCTAATGTTTAGCTTTCAAATGAGGTAGGATGCATGCTGATATGAGGTAGGTAGCATGAATTAGAGTCTAATTACTAAGGTGCTGTTTATATCATACTTTAGTCTTGGGCAGACTTTATGAATCGAATGTTTTGTGTTAAAACTCATTTATAATGTGATTATTTGCAAAGGTGTTCTTCAGTAAAGTTTTAGACATTTAAGTTAGCTACCACATGGGTTTTAAATCTCATTAAAAACGTGTTTGTAGCTCCGGTTAGCTAGTAAATACTGAAGTCTGGTCGGTTACAAGTTCTCGACTTTTGACTGCTACTTAGTTTTGAATGTTTGATGAATTATTTCCTAGTAAACGACCTTATTTGCTTTTGGTGTTTTCATAAGAATTGTAGATGCATGCCTTTGGATTATATTGCAACTTGAATCATATTTATCTGAGTTATGTGCTGAAAGTTATGTCGATTTTAAAAATGCTGCCCGGGTTAAATTTTGAAAAACGTACGTGATATTTTCGAAAATGAGATTTCTTTGATTAAATGCTTATGTGAGCTTATTTGGACTAAGTGATTGTTATGATTAGTTGGTCATGAGTTGAATAGTCATTGATAGGACTATTTTAATAAATGTAGGTGCTTGACGAGCCGAGCTCGCCGCCTACCCGTTATTGTTGTGCTTTCGCTTGTTATCATCCATGTGGGTTTACTTATAAAATTTTCTATGCCATACGTGTTATTAAATGTTTAGTTGGTATGACCAATGTGTGAATGTGAACCATGTGGCCTACCGATGTGAGTTGTTACGGCCGTCGGTACGGTTGTCCCCGTCGAGTTACGGTACGATTGCCCCTTGCGAGGCAAGTCTCCTTAAGACCTAATGAAAGGCCGTGTCTGTTACAGTGGCACGCACTCCCGTCGTTAGGGTTTATGCATCCCTTTTCCGCGGCTAATGATAGATGTGCACATGAGTGAGTTATTGCTGTGATTGTTAGGGGATGAGACATGATGATGATTGATTTATATTCATGCTGCGACCATACCATCTTTACATGTTATTATGTGCATAGTAGTGAGCACTCCTTTATCATTTGTGCTCATTTCCACCTGCTCTTCACGGATGCAGGTTAAGCAGTGGCCGGATGACGGGGCGAATGGCGAGTGGTGGTCTATTAGTTATTCATTTTGCTTCCGTTTTAATAATGTGGTCTTTATGAACCCTATTCATATTTTGAACATATGAAACTGTTTTTGAACTATGCTTAATGATTGGAAATAATTTGGTAAACCCTTTTTGAACCTTGGATATTCATGGTGATTAATTTTTGAAGTTCCATTGTTCATATCGATTATTATGTTGAGATATGAATCAGGTTAATGAAAACCTTGTGAAAAATCGGGTTTAAGAATCCCCGTGAATCCAGTCACGAATTGGACTAGTTAAATTGTGTTGGTTAATGCTCTTGACTTTCGAAAATGAATTCGAAAAATTTGTTCTGGTTTTTAGAAAGTTCGAGATTTCTTTAAAATCAAAGTGGGGTATTACACATATCCGACGTGCAGTTCATTACCGGTTCGAAGTCTTCTTTAGTTTACGTTGTCAGCTACCATCACTATCGTATACTCGCTAGCACCGGGGGCCTATCTATTATCATCCGACCCGGTAATCCGCAATCATTCGCCCGAAAGTATGTATTAAGAGAATTATTATTGATGTCAGCCTAAACCATGCTCACTCCGGTTCACATTACGACCGAACTCCGGCCCGACATGGAGCAAACCGACCTGCCCAAACAAAAATCGAGGTCACCGTCAACCGAAGTCACCGTACCCAAAGCTGGTGACGTGGCGCATACGCGACTCATTCTAGAGCCACAAGTTGTGTCATCATTCAAGTGGGCCCCCACTGACAGAACCGCCCGCTAAAAGCCACTTTACGAAAAAGCAACCGTACGCCTCGACATACGAGTCGAAAAAGATACTATAAATAGCATATGCCTAAACATGTACAGGGATCGTTCTCTGAACATTAAACACATATATAAAAAACCGCCCAACACCTTTTACCTCGGTTCACCTCGGACCGGGGCAATCGCTTGTGTGTTTCTTGCATGTTTTACGTCTAAACTACTTTAAACGCTCAACTAATCATGCACGAAATCATTGTTAACAATCGCATAAAAACAATATGATACTCAAATGTTAGCATATTCCCATAATAAATTTCCATAAGGTATTGATGATAATTCGACAAATTGATATGTATTCCTTCTGAAAATCAAAAAGATCTTTGAACAAATATTGGTTAATAAAATATAAAATTTATAATTTAATTCTAGAGTATATATATATATATATACACACATGAGAATTTATTGTGTCGTACAAATTTTGGTTTCAGGTTTAAAAGTCAAATGAGTAACTGTTCAATACTTACGGGCCAATATTAACTTGATGTAAATGAAATTGTTAATTATTTATAGTATAATGAATTACTTTTCTTTTTTTCGAAACGATAGAAATGTTATAAATAAAAAAGCACAAATGTGCAAATACACAGCAGCCAACGGCTGAATACACAGCAGCCAACAGCTGAATAAAAAAGAGAGGACAGGTCATTAGATCGCCGAGATCTGACCGCCTAGATCCGACCCCAACAGGGTAATAAAAAACACAAAATACAACACAGCACAGAGACCCCAACAGGGTAATACCCGAATATCGGACCCCAACAGGGTAATAAAGTGACACTCGGGTATAATGAATTACTTAACTACTTAAATTTTTTTTATTTGTATAGTTTATGGAAAAATAAATTAATTTTAATTAATGAAATAATATAAGATTTATAATTATACTTATTATTTACATCGATTTTAAATAAATAATAAAATTTTACAAAAATATTAATTTTATGGAATCACATTGTAGTCAAAACGAATTTCTGAACAAAATTTTTAATATGACTCTTATTTTTAAATGAATATAATGTAATTTATGATCAGTTATGTGCACCGTAAGGGGTTGTGTACTAATTTAAATAGATGTTTTTTATTAAATTTTTCACACTTTGATTTTTATATAACATTTTCAATATATTAATTTAGGTAAACTGTATTACATATTGATTTCATATTTTTAATTTATAAATATTATTTAATGAGCAATATTAATTTAAAAATATTAACGAATATATCTTACCCGTGCATTGCACGAGATTTGTACTAGTGAGATGATAAATAATATGAATACTTCATTATTATTATTTTTTAAAAAAAATATACAGATAAATATAAAATGACTTTTAAAAAATTACAAATTAAATACATTTTTTTTTTTTTTTAAATCTGAAATATTCATAGAAATAGAAAATAATTGCTCTGAATCTTCAATTTCAGGATAAGAAGTCATCCTCCTCACCTTCACTTCAAACCCCAATCAGCAAACAACCCAATCCCAATGTCAATCTATTCTCTGTCGACTGCCTTCACCGCCACCACCTCCACCAAGCCTCTCTCATCCTCCGCCCTCGGCCCCTCCTCCTCCTCCCTCCTCCGCCTCCCCGTCAAACAACTCTCCTCCCTCTCCCTCAATGCTTCGCCCTCCAGACCGCGTCTGACCATCTCCGCCTCAATGGAGGCCGGAGTCGGTGTCATGGGAACGAAGCTGGGGATGATGACGTACTTCGACTCCACTGGCACCGTGGTTCCGGTGACGGTCGTCGGATTCCGAGAGGGAAACATCGTTACTCAGGTCAAGACCGAGGCCACGGACGGCTACGACGCAGTTCAGGTAGGCTACCGCCGGGTTCGCGACCGGAAATTAACAAAGCCGGAGTTAGGGCATCTTGAGAAGTCCGGCATTATCCCGCTGAGGCACTTGCAGGAGTTCAGGCTTCAGTCGGTCCAAGGTTTCGAGCCTAATCAGCGGTTGGTGGTGGACGAGATCTTTAAGGAGGGTGATCTGGTCGACGTCTCCGGGACGACAATCGGGAAAGGGTTCCAAGGTACGAATTGACTATGCTTTAGCTTTTAAATTATTTTTTTTGTTGTTGCCTGTAATGCTATAGTTGTTCATTTCATTTCCTTGGGTGTCTCTGTAAATGAAAATGGTGAAAATGGTGAATCGATGCGTAGCTTATACTTGTGATTTTTTCGGGCCATGAGAATGTTTTCAATTGTAAGTAATGTATTGTCCTAAAAATGGCTGTGGCAACAAAATAGTGTTGAATATTTATACATTAGTACATTCCTCCTGTATTCTTGACTGGGCCTGAATTATTAAGCTACTTGATGTGTGGTGTTGATTGAAATATGCTCATGAGGGAAATGGGATGGGGCGTTTTCAGAAGATGTTCCCATTCCTCATGTATCCATATCATGCTTTCGAAAATATGCCAACGATTTGAGGTTAATAGGAAGTTAATATCTGAAATTGCAAGTGAATTATCAATTATTCAGTTTTAAACAGGGCCGTTATTTTACTGTGGATTTAAATCTACAATGAGTGTAGCGTCCCGTGTCAAGATGTTTGATTACTGTGGTGGAATCAGAAAGATAATCTCAACTGTTACTGTTGGAGGTTGTATTGACAAGTTGTTTGCTGACTTCGATTTGCCTTAAAAACATAAGAAAAACTTTGTTTGTTGTGTACCAATTATGCCAGGAACATGAAAGAAATCTGGATTAATGCCAAGTTGTTTGCTGACTTCGATTTGCCTTAAAAACTTAGAAAGACTGTTTGTTTGTTGTGTACCAGTTTTATGCGATGAACATGAAAGAAATCTGGATTATTTTTTGTACAACGATTTTATACCTCCGGTGATGAGTCTCACATTGTTTACTTACTACCCACTTCCATTCTTCCTTGTCGGTACTGAACCTCGTTTTGATGTTCGGAAAATGGAAAATGCATTTGTTTGAGGCTTTAGCTACATCATTTTTTGGACAGGTGGGATCAAGAGACACAACTTCAAGAGAGGTCCAATGACACATGGGTCGAAGAGCCACCGACAACTGGGATCCATTGGTGCTGGGACTACGCCTGGGCGGGTGTACAAAGGCAAGAAAATGCCTGGGAGAATGGGGGGCACCACCACTAAGATAAGAAAACTCAAGGTCGTGAAAATCGACAATGACCTCAATGTGGTGATGATCAAGGGGGCCGTGCCTGGGAAGCCTGGGAATCTCCTCCGAATTACTCCCGCCAAAATCGTGGGGAAGAATATTCCTAAAAACTAGTCCTTTTATTATGTACTTGATTGATGTGTCTTTGTTTGTGTAGCATTTTTTTTTTTTTTT